GCCGTTGGGGGCCTTCGGGGTGGTTGGAAGGCGGCAGGCCTCCTAAGGTTGATCCTGCTGTGAATGCTCCTTGTGGAGCAGCTCATGTCAATGTAGGAGGCTTCTGCTGTTGGAGCTTTTTCTCTTCTAACTAACTACAGTTAAGACTGGAAAATTCTCCTCCCCTGCCCATGAACAAGGCTGAACAGCCCAAAGTTGTGACACTGAGGAACCGGCAGCAGGAGGTGTTTTGTTTCTAAGCATCTCTGTGTTTCGATCTAGGAATCTATACCTCGTACAAGACGTTTCTGCACAAAGACAAAACGCTGATAAAGAGGCTGTTGAAGGTGAGCATCTCCTGCCTTTCTCCCCCGCCCTGTGTCGCTGCAGGAGAGCAGAGCTCAGGTCTGGGTTAAACCATTCAGCCCCAAAGGAGGAATAGCACTGGTTTTCTGCATCGGCCCCAGGTCTCTCACTTCACTCGGACTTCAGTCGTGGTTTAGTCCAGGCCATCCAAGTGTGGGTTACAAGTCTAGGGACCTGCATCTCAGGGTGGTACTCTCAGATTATTTCACTTGTTTGAGCTCAGTAGGCTCATGGTATCGTACATGCTAGCATTGTTAGGAAGGAAGGAAAGGGATGGTTCTGTTGGTGGGGTTGCCAGGTGTCCGGTATTCACCTGGACAGTCTGGTATTTTCACCTCCTGAACTGTGGTAAAACTCAGAAAATACCGGACACCTGGCAACCCTAAGACACACTGGGCAACTGGGCCCCCTGCCTCTGGACCCTCTGCTTAACGGGGTGGTGGTGAGGGGGAGGTCTCGATCAAGAAAACAAGATGGCTCCTGCAAAAAGACCTGAAGCAAGGGGAAGCAGTACCAACCGCTCCGCTCTCTCACTTAAAGGGGCTGTGCTGTTTTAATGCTGTTTTGTTTTGTTTTATTTTATTTTATTTTTTTGCTTAATAACTTTGGGGTCCCTTTTTTTCCCCTCAACAACCCCGTGGGTTTTTTTTTGGGGGGGGGAGAGGGGAGTTTGGTATTTTTGGTTAAATCATCTGGCAACCTTACCTGTTGGGCAGATCTAAGCCATTTAATCTGTGTGAGCGGCGTGTTGTTTCCGTGTTACCGGTGAGTGGCGTTCGGGAGAGGATGCAGAATTATTCTTTTCCCATCTGGCCCTGGACTGGCTGTGTGCAGCTGCGATGCTTGGCTGAAAATCCTGCCCACACTTGTGTAGTCTCTGCTGAAACCTGCCAGCACTTCTGGCTGTAAAACGGTGCCCTCGGCTCGCCCCTCGGCTGTAACTCCTCTCTCTTCCTGCAGGGGATTCAGAGGAAGCGCCCATCTGAAGTCCAAAGTGCCCTTCTGCGGCGCCACCTGCTGGAGCTCACCCAGAGTTTCATTATCCCCCTGGTGAGTGGGAGGGGTTGCGCTGTGGGGTAAAGGAGTAGGGGGATGAACGGGATAGGCCTGACCGGTGGATGCACTCCTGCTCTGTGCCGGAGGCTGGAACGCCAGCGCTGACTCTTCTTCGAAAGGAGTAAACTTGTCTTAGATTGGCAGGTTGGACTGCGGCTGTGCTCCGCTCTGCAGCGCTGACACCCGGCGCAGTGCAGATAACGGGGACAAGCCTTTTCTCCTGTGCACAAATTAACTCCCCTTCCGATGGGTCTCCGAGGCCAGTTCCGCTGTCTCAGCCTGGATCCAGCTAAGAGACGGCAAGGGAGATGTTTGCAGAGGCGAAAGGGAAGTTAACCCCGGGGCTCCCGTCGACTCTGGTCGGTTTGAAAACTTCCCCTGCGGCGTGTTGCATTCAGTTCTTGAGCGCTCACGCCATCCCATAGTACTGCTTAGGAGCAGGGCTCTAAAGCAGCGGTTAACAAGCTATTCGAGCACTCGAGGGAATTTCAGCCAATAAGGGGGTTAGCTCCAGGGGGCAGTGCGAGCCGAGACTGAGCAATGCCGGCTCCAGGACCACTGCAGCTCTGCTTTGTGAATTTAGCAAGAGCTGCGTGGGACTGCTCAGTCCCAGCTCACGCCAGGTCCCCCACTGCGCCTCTGCTGCTTCTTCCCTCCCCCCACCCCCGCACAGTGCTGGGAGGAAACGGCTTTTGAGCTGGCTCCCCCTAGGACCGGCTCCTGCTCTCTGATACAGAGGCAGCAAGGGGGGGAGCGAGTAGCTGAGGAGTGACTCAGCTACCCAATCAGCCTGTGTGTATCAGGTAGTTGTTACTCGACTAGTCGCTTACACCCCCATGTTAAGAGCCCAGTGTGGATGGCTTTTGCTTTACTGCGGAAGGTAACGGTTGCGTTTTTCATCCCTTCTCTGTTCCTGCTGCGTCAGAGAGCTGCTTGCACCTGTGGCAGCCATTGGCTTCTCCCCTCCCACCAGATCTCATCTTCCTGGCATCGTTAAATCTTCCACAGCAGTCAGTTCTCATGTCCCGGCTTCTTGGGGCAGGGGAGTTAGCAAACGAGCATTTGGACTTGTGGAATGTGCACAACAAAGAAGGGGGAAAGAATGGAAGTTTGTTCTCACATGGTGTGTGGGTGGCTCTTACAGCCCAGTGTGACCAGGGAAGGGGTCTCTGACTGGTCTGCTCTGCTGCCCTACAGGAGCATTACATTGCGAGTCTGATGCCTCTGCAGAAGGCCATCACTCCGTGGAAGGTACGTCCGCGTCCCCAGGCTGCTGCGCTTTCCTTTCATTTCCTTGGGGAGAGTTTGAACAGTTACGCTTTTGTGCTGATTATTTTCTTGGGAAATTGTCCCTGAGTACAGCATGCTGCTGAGCTGTGGGGAAATTTTCAAGCGATTCCCAACGCTTTGTGCAGAACGTAGCATCGCTTTGTGAAAGGGGTGAGCATGAGGTACAGACGGACACCCTGGGTCCTAGGACAAGCCAAGAGAGTTCAGCCATCGGGGGCTCATCCCATGTCCCCCGCCCCCGGTGGGCCGGTTAGGAAAGACGTGGGAGTCTGCGAAATACTGTGGCCCACTCCCTGACGGCCCTTTTGCAGGGACGGGGTTGTTCCCCCTGAAAAGGGAGCTGGAACAGACACTGGGCCACATGCTGCTGCTTTCCGGTGGTTTTCAGCTCAGCAGGGCTGGTAGCGATTTGTAACCTGAACTCTCCTAGCAGAGCGGTTGGAGACGTGCAGGGTCAGGCATTTGGTGGTGCTGAGGGGTTTTCGGTGTATCCTGCATAGACTCTTCCTAGGAGAGCTGAGCCTCACGCCCAGTGCTCGCGGCTGCATCGCTGTGTCGTCTTTTTCTTGCACAGAATCCTCCCCAGATCCGCCCTTTTCGCCAGGAGGATTTCATGAAGACCCTGGAACATGCAGGTCCCCAGCTCACCTGTGTGCTGAGGGGTGACTGGCTAGGCCTGTACAGGTAAGAATGTGGCATTTGGTTGTCTGGCCCCGGCAGCGGCCGGTAAAGAGGATCACGACTGTACCTGCCAAACCTCCACTTAGACTCATTGGGAGGAGCGAGCAGCTTCAAGGGAGAGACCATGGGATGTCAGCATGGACTTGCCCAGGTTGTCATGGGCAGGAGGCGCAGCGAACGGGCAGCGCTAATCCTGCTGGTGATTGATCTGACCCAGAGCGGGCTGCTTGGGGTGTAAGCCGGTGGCAGAGCGTGATTGGTTTGGGGAGGAACGTCCTCCAGAGGCCCCTTATTCCATCCTTGCCCCCTTGGGAGCTCCACGCACCTTGCTTCCGAAGCAGCTGGTTCTCGCCTCCCGGCAGAGACGGGGGCAGTTTAGATTGGCCACGGTTCCGACCCCGTACGCCAGCCCTTTGTGTTTGTAGAGCGCCCGGCGCAGTGGAACCCGGGTCTGACTGGGGCCTGTAGCCCGATAGGGATCGGGAGGGGGGTTCAAACTTTTTTTTTCTCATGACCCAGTTGAAGGAGATTGTTGATACTCACGACCCCACACAGTTTGGCTGGCGTGTGGGCTCCGGGATGGGGCTGAGGAGGAGAGCTTTGGGCTGCATTTTCTGGTTAGCAGGGCAGCAGGGGTGCTAAGGCAGCTTCCTGCCTCTCCTAACACCGCCCGCAGGGGCAGTGCACGGAGCCCTGTGTGCTCCCCCCACCACCTAGGAGCTGGGCCTGCTGCACGGCCTGCGGTGCCAGGACTGGCAGGGAGCCGCCTTAGCCCCCCCACTGCTCACCTGCTCCCCCCGCAGCACAGAGACCCAGCGCCCAGTCCTGGGTCACAACCAGATGTTTGAAAGCCCCGATATAGATGATATTATGGGGCCTCTAGGGTAAAGTGAGGGACAACGGCTGTGTCTACACTGGCCACTTATTCCGGAAAATCAGCTGCTTTTTCGGAATAACTTGCCAGCTGTCTACACTGGCCCCTTGAATTTCCGGAAAATCACTGACGATCTACTGTAAGAAATCAGCTGCTTTTCCGGAAATACTATGCTGCTCCCGTTCGGGCAAAAGTCCTTTTTCCAGAAAACCGTTCCGGAAAAGGGCCAGTGTAGACAGCACAGTCGTGTTTTCCGCAAAAAAGCCCCGATCGCGAAAATGACGATCGGGGCTTTTTTGCAGAAAAGCGCATCTAGATTGGCCATGGACGCTTTTCCAGAAAAAGTGCTTTTCTGGAAAAGCATCCTGCCAATGTAGATGCGCTTTTTCCGGAAATACGTATAACGGAAAACTGTTCCGTTTTAAGCATTTCTGGAAAAGGGTGCCAGTGTAGACATAGCCAACATGTGTGAGTGCCCTCCCTTTATTATTTCAGTGACAAATTAGTTGCAAACATGCCCCAAAACCTGGGGGTGGAGGAAGCTAAAGCCAGACACTCAGTGGATAGCAGACCAATGCAAGACATTGGGGCCCAGACTGTCAAAGGCCCTGTGAGAACAAGGAGTTAGGCACCTGAATACCTTTAAAAACCTCAACCTGGTGCTGAAAGACCCAAAAGCACTGGATGGTCCAATGTAGCTCTCCCCAGTGTTAGCTGATTCCGTTAGCGTGACTATCCAGCGACTCTGCATAGCCCGTAATCCCAAACTGCCTCCTATTGCCTCGCCTTCCCGGATGGTCCTCGCCAGCTGCCAGCCTCCCTCTGCCGCCTGTCATCCTTCATTCCCAGGCCGAAAGTCTGCAGCACCCTGACAATTCAAAGTGATGGGACCATGTACAACTAATTAAACAACAGGAGCTGTGTGAATGCTTCGTTTCCCTATTTAATTCAGTACAAACCTCCACTTGTAAATGAAGCTGCCACAGAATCCCACATCAGCTGCACTGTGGCTGGCTGCAGCCTCCTGGCCCCTGGTTGCGGCGTACACGAGGCCTTGCTTAAAGAGAGAGAAAGCTGTGGCGTTTAGCTCAGCCACAAGAAGCCGTGTTCGGTGCAAACCCCAAGGGGGGGTGGTTAGGGTGCAAACCCCAAAGGGGGGGAGGGTTAGGGTGCAAACCCCAAGGGAGGAGGGTTGTTAGGGTGCAAACCCTAAGGGGGGGGAGGATTAGGGTGCAAACCCCAAGGGAGGAGGGTTGTTAGGGTGCAAACCCTAAGGGGGGGGAGGATTAGGGTGCAAACCCCAAGGGAGGAGGGTTGTTAGGGTGCAAACCCTAAGGGGGGGGAGGATTAGGGTGCAAACCCCAAGGGAGGAGGGTTGTTAGGGTGCAAACCCTAAGGGGGGGGAGGATTAGGGTGCAAACCCCAAGGGAGGAGGGTTGTTAGGGTGCAAACCCTAAGGGGGGGGAGGATTAGGGTGCAAACCCCAAGGGAGGAGGGTTGTTAGGGTGCAAACCCTAAGGGGGGGGAGGATTAGGGTGCAAACCCCAAGGGAGGAGGGTTGTTAGGGTGCAAACCCTAAGGGGGGGGAGGATTAGGGTGCAAACCCCAAGGGAGGAGGGTTGTTAGGGTGCAAACCCTAAGGGGGGGGAGGATTAGGGTGCGACGATTAGAAAACACACAGGGTCATGGCCCTTGCAGTGGAGTCCGTTCCCCGTGGAAAGACTCATTTCCTGACTCACCGGCAACCAGCCTGGGCCGAATTCTACAACATGAGCACAGGGCCACGAACAGAGCCGACACCATCTGCGTTCTAGCCCTGTGCCTTACCCATAAGGCCATGCTGCCTGCCCTAAGGTGGGAAGCGTTCATCGTCACCTGCCTCAGGGCAGCTAACTGGCCGGCCACCAGCACCTGTGGACTGTAGGAGAGGCCGACTTCCGAGACAGAGAATAAATGGGGCCATTGACGAGAGAGGTTGGGCGGGTTGGGGTCAGAAAGGCGCCTTCCCCCAGCAACCCTTCCCCTTTCCTAATGGCACTGAGCCAGGGATCGGGCCCCCCGGATGCCCGTTTCAATGGATGGGGAAGAGCTGTGGGTGGAGAGGAAGCCTGACAACAAGCCCGGCCCGTTCTCCTTCCCCCTCTCAGCTTCCCGTCTCTTCCCGCAGGCGTTTCTTCAGGTCCCCCAACTTCGATGGCTGGTACCGTCAGAGGCACAAGGAAATGACCCAGAAGCTGGAGGCCCTGCACCTGGAGGCGATCTGCGAGGCGGTACGTTCCCGCAGAAGCAAGTGCGGGGCTCCCTGTGCCGGGTAGCTGGGTGTCCCCTACTACTGGGGAGGGCCTGGCCTGGTGCAGCACTGCTGTGAGGTACTGGGCACGTCCTCACCACGCCCCGTCGCTGCTTGGCCGAGGGATTTCCCGCACTCCGCCCCGCGTTGCCGGGAGCCAGCACAAACCCTGCTCTGCTTCCCGCCGGCAGCCACGTTAGTTCTTCCGGCCCTTCCAGAGCCAGCGGAGTCCCAGGGGGCGCCTCTCTGGCTTGTTGCCTTCCTGGGCGCTGGAATAGGCATCCCGGCGGCAGCTCCCTCCGGCACATTTCTCACCTGGGAAGGCCGGCCGGGGTAGTCTTGTGAGAGCAGGGCCCCCGGGCCGCACAGACGTGGCCCAGCCCTCCGCTTTCGGGTGGCCTCTGAGCGCCCCGCAAGCAAGAGCATGGAGAGCCTGCAAAGCCTGCGTCTTGCCCCTCCTCCCTGGACTCTGTGCTGGGCTGTGAGCAGAGAGCCTGCCGGAGCTGGGCAGGACGTCGTCCTGTTTGGCCAGCCGGGAACCCATCGTGCTGCCTCAGCGCATGCCAGTACCTTGCTGTGCAGAGGAGCCGGTCCCCACCCGCCTGGGTGCGAGGCTCCGTGTGGGGGACAGCTCTGAGGGCAGCTGCTGTACGGAAGGACAGTCCCTTAGGAGAACTTTTCTTCTCTTGCGGCAGGACATCGTGGCCTGGATGAAGGACAAGTCCGAGGTGGAGATCGTAGACCTGGTTCTGAAACTTCGCGAGAAGCTCGTAAGTTTCCCCTCGCTTCCTGCTGGGGTTCCTGTGGGCGCGGGCCCCTCTGCGCTCCTGCTGCATGCGGGACAGAGCCAGCCGGGGAGCGGAGAGCCTCCCTTAGACGCACTCGGAAAGGGCCCCAGGGTCTCCGACAGCTGAGAGCCTACGGGACTCCCCCGAGCTAATGGCACAGGGGATACGTGGGGTCAGCGCTTTGTTTGTTTGTTTAAAAACCCCCCTCTACTCCAGGGAAAAGTTGAGGGGAAAAAGCGCCAGGGCGGGACGTTTGCACAGAGAGGTGCCGGCAGTGCGTCGGGCAGCACCATCACACAAAAGCACTGCTTGGAGTCTGCATTAAACCCCCCTCCCCCCGCAGGTCCGAGCCAGGTGCCATCACCTGCCCGTGAAGGAGGAGACGCTGCAGCGAGGGGGCCTGTACATTGAGACCATCATCGGCTCCCTCCCTGAGGATCTCCAGGCCGTGCTGCACCACCCCTGAGCCGCGGCCCAGCACCAGGACTGCTGGGAGAGGAAGGCCTCCCCCCACCCCCCAGTCCCAGCATCTCCCCCAGGCCTGCAGGGGGCTGCAGGCAGGTTCAAGGGAGAAACTGGGGCCTAGCCCCAGCCCCCCACTGACCTGGCTTCTGCTGGGCAGCAGGAGGGGGGTGAGCTCTGAGCCAGGAGTGGAACCGAGGCCGGGCGGGTGAACTGCTGCTGTGCAGAGCTGCAGGGGGGGGGAGCATGGTGGCTGTCCGCGCGGCAGAGAGAGGCAGCTGGAGACCGGGCCCGTCTGCCAGGCTAAGCCGAACACACACTGCCAGCCCTGTCCTCGCACCACGCTAGGGCCGCTGCTACCTACACGCCATCAGGCCTGCTTGTCCCGGTCACAGCTGAGACAGGAGCACTCCGTGCAGGTACGGAGCCTGCAGCTCTTGCTGATCTTGTGAGTCCCAGCCCCTCCTCCCTGGGGACGTGGACGGTCCCCCCACAGGCTGACCCATTGCGGGAAGAGCTGTGGCTGGGCACGCGGCAGGCAGATAAAGGGGAGCAGCAGTGACCGTAACGGCTGCAGCGGGAATGGCCCCCTCCAGGGTGGGGGGCTGTGTGTGTGTCTGGCAGACTGGAGCTCTGCCTGGGTGAGAGAGCTGGGAGCATCCCCTGGCCGTGAGGGATCTGGCCAGAGCGGCTCTGCGCTGCCGATTCTCAGCCCTGGCCGGACAGGTGTCCTGCGCGCTGCGTACGGGGAGTGGGGCTGGGGTGGTGGCGGGGGGAGGGGTGTTCTGTAGTAATCTCTGCCCTCCGGGGGGTTGTTTCTTATTTCCACGGAGGAGTCAGTAAAGCACAAATGTCTGAACCCTCCTGCCTCTCTCTGGGGATCCTCCGCCCTCCGCCACCCGAACCCGAGAAGAAAGCAGGCAGCGCGCGCGTCAGAGTGAGCGCTTGGCTGCAGCCCGTAGCCCTCCTGCCTGGCTGCCCTGCCCTGGAGGGGTGGGTGGGCAGGGACCCCCTTAGTGCGTGTAGTGTGTGCGCCTCGGGCCGTGGGAGCGCTGCCCGTGCGGTGCCCGCGGGAGGGGCCCGAGTCACTGCGGTACAGTAGTCAGTCAGCTGAAAACTGGCCTCTTCTCTGCGCTTCTGCCAGACGGGCTGAGCTGGGTCTGAAAGGAGAGGGGCACCAGCCCCCTTCTCCATGGCTACACCTGGGGCCCTGGCAGCAGGCCAGCTGCAGCCTGCCTCCTCTGCGTGGTCAGTGTGGAATTGCCCCGGGGAGTAGCCCTACCCCCACCGAACTGGGGTTCTTCCCACCCCAGCAACGGGCAGCCCGGATTCTGTGCCCCTGGCTCCCGCAATTCAGTGTGTTCTCCCCTGTCTGCGTCACAGGCCAGCGTCTCGGCAGGCAATGCATGGAAAGGGAGTTACAGCACATGGACAAATACTTGGGCACGAGGGGCTGGTTTGATAGGTGGGTCAGGTCCGACTCGTTCGAAGTCAGAGGGTGCTGGAGCGTTCAGAGATGGTGACAGCTGCCCCAGCGCCAGGCAGGGCCTCTGTCTCGCTGTGCTCGGCCGAACCGCCAGCTGCTGGTCAGGGAGACGCAATTTCAGCCTCGGGAGCTAACGCGAACTGAAGCACTAGGAAAGTGACAGAGCTTGTCTCATTGCCCCTCTGTGAATCCATGGGCCACCCGCATCTTGAGTGCTGCATGCAGATGTAGCCGCCCTCTCTCAGAACCATGTATTGGAATTGGAAAAGGCTCAGAAAAGGGCACCAAAACGTGTTGGGGTTTGGAACGGCTGCCATGGATGAGGAGAGATCAGTAAGACGGGGACTTTTCAGCTTAGAAAAGAGATGACTGGGGGATATGAGAGAGGTCTATAAAATCATGGCACTGTGGAGAATGTAAATAAGGAAGTGTTATTTACTCATGATACAAGAAGTAGGGGTCACCAAATTAAACTAATAGGTAGCAGACTTAAAACAAAAGGAAATGTTTCTTCTCGAGGCGCAGTCACCCTGTGGAACTCCTCGCCGGAGGATGTTGTAAAGGCCAGGACATTAATATGGTTCCAAAAAGAGCTAGCTACATTCAGGGAGGACAGGTCCACCAATGGCTACTAGCCAGGATGAGTAGGGATGGTGGCTGTAGCCTCGGCTTTGCCAGAAGCTGGAATGGAGGGATCACCTGATTCCCTGTTCTGTTCATTCCCTCTGGGGTGCCTGGCACTGAGCCGGGTGGGATGGACCGTGGGTCTGGCTCTTCTGATGTGACCATTGCCAATACCACCCGAGCCAAAGCTGAGACTTGCTGGTTGGGCTGTTAACTAGCTGGGGGCCGGGGCGTTGGCTCAAGCCTGGGGGATACAGGAGGCTGCCTTCCGAGGAGAGCTGGGGTTTGGGGCTGTCTTCATTCTGGGGCAGTAGCCAAGAACCCTTCATCCCCGGCAGGAAAGGGGAGGGGAGCCGCTCCCGCCTTGGGTTTTCCAGCGCCCAGTGGCAGGAACTAGGGGCTGCTGAGGCTCGTGGTGAGGCTGTGCCCGAGAACGTGGGGTGAACACTCCCAAGCAGGCCTGCCGTGCCATTCGGGGATCGGGGTGGAGCCCGCTTGGGAAGACGGGGCAGGAGCTTTTCCTGAGGTGGGTGAAGACAGCTGCCGAGGGCCCTGTGAGCACTGGTGCCTCCTGTGACCAGCCCCCGTGAAGATTCAATAGCTGCAGAGGGGAGGAGGCCTGAACCCCTCCTGGGAGTGCTCTGCACCCCATTGTCTCCTACCCCTTGTTTGAATAGGAACATACGAACGGCCAGCCAGGCGGGGTCGGACCAAAGGTCCAGCGAGCCCCGTGGCCAAGGCCAGAGGGAGGGAACGCAACGCAATCCTCACATGCTCCCTCCTGTCACTCATTTCCAGACACACAGACACCATTCCTACCCATCCTGGCTAATAGCCATTGATGGACCTAACCTCCATGAATTTATCGAGCTCTTTTTTGAACCCCATTAAAGTCCTAGTCTTCACCACGTCCTCTGGCGAGGAGTTCCACAGGTTGACTGCACTGAGTGAAGAAAAACTGCCTTTGGTTTGTTTTAAACCTGCTGCCTATTCATTTCATTGGGTGACCCCTAGTTCGTATCTTGTGGGACTCATACCGGCTGGAGGGTCCCGGGCACTCAGAGCTGGTGTAAAGTGCCTAGCAGAGACAGGGTTCCACCCCTGTCAGTAGGATGACGAATATGATGTGCAAGAGAAAGTAGCTGCTGCTCCGCGGGGTGCTCTCTGTGCTCCAAGGCCTGGTGGTGGGGCGATAGCCACACATCCCTCAAGCTCCTCTCAGAGCCAGCTGCAGCCCCAAGTCCCCACCGGGGAGCTCGGGGGGGCTGTGCCTCCCAGCCCTTGCAGAAGCTACTGTGGAAAGGAGAGGAGGACAGCCGTGTACGTGGGAGGGAATTTATGGGCGGTCTTGGCCTCTTGTTCCTCGCAGCCAGTCTGGCACTGGGCTTTACCTGCCCTAAGGAAACCACAGCTGCTCACACGACCGTTGCTAGTGATTGTGTTGCTTTGGCTAAGCAGCTGCCTCCGGTCCAGGCTGCTGCCCAGGCAGCTTACCTCCAGGAGCAGGGGGGTTACTCCTGTGTTTGCATCATCCAGAAAGGAGGGGAAATTGGGGCAGACTCTGCTGCAGTTGGTCCCTGTTTTCCAGGAAGGCTGCACGGCGAAGTCAGCATCGAGCGGATTCCTTGTTACCTAAGCATTGCTCGGTGTGTGGGCCGAGGCCAGGGGAGAGACGCTGTGCAGAATTCCTACCAAACGCACTGTGCTCCCAGCTGGGGGCCCGGGAGTTCATCCAGAAAGGAGGGGAAATTGGGGCAGACTCTGCTGCAGTTGGTCCCTGTTTTCCAGGAAGGCTGCACGGCGAAGTCAGCATCGAGCGGATTCCTTGTTACCTAAGCATTGCTCGGTGTGTGGGCCGAGGCCAGGGGAGAGACGCTGTGCAGAATTCCTACCAAACGCACTGTGCTCCCAGCTGGGGGCCCGGGAGTGGCCAGCGCCGGCCCCTCCTACTGCTCAGTGACACAAAGAGATTCATCGTAGAAGGCTTTGAGGCCGGGGTAGTATCTCAGGGGGACTGTCTCCCCCAGAGCCTCCTGGCGGAAGTTCTGCCGCAGCCAGCCATAGACCAAGCTGTGCAGGAGCCCTTGGAGGGACATGGTCAGCGCCTGCAAAGAGAGGGAGAAATCAGAGCAGTGCGAGACAGCCACCCCTGCGCAGCACGGCCCTTCTCCTGCGTGCCTGGGGCGGCTCCTCTCCAGAGACAGCGGAAAGCTGGCAGCGTAACGGGGATGCGAACGGGTAACCGGTTATCCGGTAAGCGGCAGCCTTGCCAGGTGATATTAACCGGTGCCTGGCAGCAGCCCTCCGCCATGTGAGGAGAGCTGCTCCAGCCCCATGGAGGGGTGCAGGAGCAGAAGCCAGCCCCCCTACACTTGGGCATTCGGGAGCGGGAGCCTGTTTAATGGGTTAACCAGTCAAACCTAAGGCTTAACCAGTTAACCGAGTAACCGGGATTTTCCATCCCTACTCATAGCCAACTGATAAAGGGGAGATGGACGCGTGAGCGTCCTGCCCCAGCCAGGCCTCCGAGGAGAACGCGGCCCCCCAGGGGCGAGGTTAACGAGAGACCTTCCCTCGGAAGCCAGGAGAAGCAGCTCAGGCTGGGGCAGAAGGCAGCAGGGCGGCCCAGCCGCTGAGCTGAGGTGCTGGGGGCCGGGCTCCGCTGGGCTGTTGCACATGACCGTTCGGTTACGTTTGGGAAGCAGCAGAACGGGACCGGCCTGGGAGCTGGTTTGTTTCCTTTCGCTGCAGAGGCCAGAGCCGGCCCCCTCTCCCCCTGCACCCGCACTGCCTAGCAAAGGGCCTGCCCTGGCGGCTCATCCCCACCCGTGAATGCCCAGACCCATGGGCGCCGTGTAACCCCCATTCCCTACATGCTGGGCACATCCTGCACCCCGCTGCTTGCACGGAGAGGTCCCCGGTCGTCCCCATCACACTGGGCCCCGTGCAAAGCCCACGGCGACCGGGGCCGGTCAGGCCCTTACCGTGGCCACGTACAGTGCAAAGATGGCGGTGGGCTGGACGCTGGTGAAGGACAGGAGGCTGAGGAGCAAGGCTGCGACGGGGAAAAGGAACGAGCTCTCACTGCTTTATCCTGCCGCTGCTTTGCCGTGTGAGGCCGTTCCCGTCTGCGCCCCCGGAGCGTGGCCATCGCCACCGTTAGGTTGCACGGCACCTTCCCCGAGGGTGGGGCCCCGCACGCTCCTGCCTGCACCCAGCTTCGCTGCTCATGGGCAGCCCCTTCCCAGGGGACGCGGCCCGTCCTCTCCTAGCCACGCAGATCAAGGGCTCTCCGGAAAGTGCACCTGCAGAGAGTCTAGGGGAGGGCGGGGAGGGGAAGGAGCCAAGCCAGCCCAGAGGGAGGAGGAGTTCTGTGTTTCTAGGGAAGCCAGAGCGTTCGAGCCCGGTGCTTGGAGCATTAAACATCCCTCCTTGGACACCGGGGCCTTTTCAGCTGTAGGCCGGAGGTTCCCCATCTCGGCCAGCCCCAGGATCCCTGCTAGCCCCAGCCTTACAGCTGCCTGGCTCCTGCTGCTCAGGCTTCCTCCGTGAGCACCGGGATCCTGCAGGGGAGCGGAGGAAACCTTGGGACCAAATGCTGGGGGGAGGGGGCCGTGTGCTGGCACTTGATTGCACCAGAAGGGCTCGTGGTGCACAAAGGAGGGGCCCAGTCCTGATGTAGGAGGAGCCGCTCACCCGGCGTCCAGCAGACGAGGACAACC